CAATGAATTGGGCATGCAACTAAAAAAAAACTAGGAAAACAATGAATTAAGTATTCCAATTAAATATCAAAATAGAAAATCAAAGGAGAGATTAATAGAAAGCAAAAAGGTGAACTTATAAATAACACTAAAATCTGGTTTTATTAAGAAAAATCAATACAACAGTTGAGTCATTAGGTAATTTGACTTATTTAAAAGAAGAAACTCAAATTACCAGCATTAAAAAAGTGATCATTAACTATTTTGCCCAACTATATGCCAATAAAATTTGATACTAAATGAAATGGATAATTACAAAAATATATATTGCCCAGATTAACAGATGAAGAAATGGAATACTTGACCTTATGTTAGAAAAAATAAATTTAAAAAGCAATAAATGAACTCCCTAAGGGGGAAGCAAAAAGCCCAGGACCAGATGAATTTACAAGCCAATTCTATCAAACATTTAAAGAATAATTAATTCCAATACTATATATACCATTTGAGAAAAAAAAAATAGGTCAAGTCCTACCAAATTCTTTTCATGACACAAATGTGGTTTTGATACCTAAACTACCAAAAGCAAAACCAGAAAAAACAGGCCAATTTCTCTAATGAATACTGATGTAAAACTTTTAAATAAAATACTAGCAAGAAGATTACAATATATCACAAAGATCATACACTATGAACAGGTGGGAATTATACCAAGAATGCAGAGCTAATTTAATATTAGGAAAACTTTAAGCATAAAGTTATTTTAAGCATATTGACAATGTCATTAACATAAACAACAAAAATCATGTCATTATCCTTATAGATACAGAAAAGTGTTTTGACAAAATACAACACCAGTTCCTACCATGATAAAGAAGCAGAGGGTGTGTAATATGATATTCTGGAAAGCAAAAGAGCTAGGACTATGACCAAGAGTAACCTACCCTGTAAAACTGAGTGTGATCCTACTGGGAGGAAAATGGATCTTTAATGAAATGGAGGACTTTGAAGCATGGATGATGAAAAAATCAGAGCTGAATAGAAAACTTGATAATCAAGCACAACACTCAAGGAGCATATAAAGGTAAACCTGAGTAAAATACTATTGTTCTGTAAGAAATGATGATGGAGATGGTTTCAGAAAAACCTGGGAAGACTTAAATGATCATCTATAAAGTGAAGTGACCAGAAGCAGGTGAATAATTTTAACAATAACAGCAGCATAAAGATAGCTGGAAAACTTAGTAACTGATCAATACAATGATCCACCACAATTCCAAAGGATTTATGATGAAAAATGCAACTGACCTCCAGAATGAAAACTGATAGACTTAGTGCAGATGGGAACATTTTTTTTCCTCTTTTTATTTTTGTTTTTCACAAAATGTCTAATGTGGAAATAGGACTTTATATACGTAATGAATATTTTGTTTCTTGCCTTCTCAGTGGTTGGTGTAGAGGGTGGAAGGAGAAAGATAATTGAGAGCTAAAAATAAAATGACATTGATTTTTAAAATCTGTTTTCTTTCTTTTTTAAAAAATTAATTTATTTTGATTTATCAGCAATCACTTCTATAAGCTTTTGAGTTTTAAATTTTTCTCCCCCTCCATCCCCATCTCCATCCCGAAGACGGCATGCAGTCTGATACAGGCTGTACACGTACGTTCTTATTAAACATATTTTCACATTAGTGATGTTGTAAGTAAGAATTAGAACCAGTATAGGAGGAACCACCAGAAAGAGGAAGCAAAACACAACAGAAGAAAAAAAATAGCAAATAGTATGCTTCGATCTGCATTCAAAAAAAACCTGTGTTCTGGCCATCTTTGGACATATAATAAAATAAACTATCAACTACTTTTTTTTCCCCTGAGAAGTACCAGTGAGTCATCATTCCATTTAGCTGCAGTTTTCTTGTTCAAGATTTATACAGTTCAGCTTTTTCAGCAGTGAGTTTACTTGTTGGCCATTGGACAAGGATATCACATCTAATGTGTTATCTGTCGAATTACATTTGTGGAAGAGATAAAAACTGGATTTTGGCACCTCCTCTTCTTCCTTTACTGCTACTCTGCCAGTTTATTACTTCAAGGTTTTGAGCTTTGAGGTTTTTAATGAATACTTCGTTGAGAATCTCAAATGGCATTTTATGCACTGTACTCAGGTGTTACCCTGCTATATCTGTGCATATGAAAGATGGTGAGAGGCAGTTGCGTGGTGTATTAGATTGCAGAGCTGATCTTGAAGTCTCTTATGTTCAGGTATTGCCTTTAACATAAATTCTAACCGTGGACAAATTATTTGATTTCTTAGTCATCCATAGAACTCTATGACTCTTTCAGTTATAGGGGAGCTTCTAATCTGTATTAGAGGAGAGGGTTTCCACACTAGGAGTTTCCAGTACTGACAAAAAACAGGTTCAAGTCAAAAAAAAAGAAAAAGTTGGCACATTGTAATTATTTCACAAATATTGAGCACTTATCCTGATCATAGTATGAAATAGATGCTTTTACTTTGAAATCACTATAGGTAATTTGCTGTTCACAAAAGTGGATTTGCCTAGGGCATATAACTGGGTGATGTTTTTGAGGAAAATGTGTAGAAAACTACATTTTGTACTCATTGCAGGCTAATTGCATAATAATTCCAAATTGCCCATTTCAATATATTAATGTTTTTAAATGCTATTGATTACTGTAACAAAAAAACAAAAAACTTTGAAAGACTTTAGAGTTGTCATCAATGCAAAGACCAGCCACAATTCTAGCCGTTTTTTAATGAAACATATTCCCTACGTTCTTGCAGAGAGGTGATGGAGTCAGGGTGCAGACAGAGTTGGCAAACAAGAGTATTTATTTTACTTGTCTATATATTTGCTGTTTCTGATGACTGATTTTGTATAGTACCTTATAGCAGTGCATCACAGGCACAGTATCAATATCAGAATATGGATTGAAAGGGCAGGACTGTGAAGTAATGAAAGAATTAGGATTTCTTTTGCCAGTTCTAGGCATAAGAACAAGACAGATGTAAACAATTTATGTTCATGTCAGTCAGTTTTCAGTCATGTCCAACTCTTTTTGACCCCATTTGATGTTTTCTTGGCAAAGATATTGGAGTGGGTAACCATTTCTTTCTCCAGTTCATTTTACAAATAAGGAAACTGAGGCAGACAGGGTTAAGTGACTTACTCAGGTCACACAGTAAGTGTCAGGCAAGATTTGAATTCTAGAAGATGAGTCTTCCTGATTCCAGACAGTCCAGCATTCTATCTTCTGTGCCATCTACCCAGGCAATTTATAGAGGCTGGTAAAGAAGGAACGGGGGAGTCAAAAGACAGGAAGAGGATTTGTGCCAATAAATATTCATAAGGTAGAGGTAAAAGGGAGATGTAAAACAATTCAAACAAGCATTTGGGAACCAAAAAAAGATACAAATACCCCAGGCCAGTCAAAGTAAGATAGCAAGTCAGAAATGAGTGAACCAGAGCCAGATATGATACCATTTCCAGAGATCAAAGTAGGCCACTGGTCATGGTCCAATTAAAGTCAAAGGAATTAGGAAACAGAACCATGGGTTCTGAATGAGGACCTCATAAGTCTTATATTTTGTCTCACATTTAGAGCAATAAGTTCCATCTAAAACTTCCCTGGTAAACCAGTGGCTTTACATCATTTCTGCTTGAAGACTTCAAATAATGAGGAACTCACTACTTCCCAGCAGGAAGTGGGTGATAGTTCATGTATTGGGCAGAGTAGTGCACTTGGAGTCAGGAAGACCTGAATTGGAGTCCTGCCCTAGGTAATTATTAGCTTTGTGATCCTAGGAAAGTCACTCAACTTATTTTTGCCTCAGTTTTCTCACCTGTGAAATGTAGCTAATTGTGAACACCTGCCTCCTAGGGTTGTGGTAAGGGTTAAGTGAGATAACAGACGTAAAGTTCTTTGCAAACCTTAAAACTATAGAAATGCTAGCTATTACTATAATTCCTAAGATAGCCCATTCTATTATTGGGTAGATATACTTCTTCAAAAGTTTTCCCTATATTGAACTTCAGTCTTTCTCCCAGTTACTTCTACCCATTAATCCTAGTGCTTTGTATTGCTCTCGTCTGTGACGGCCTGACATATGAACTGCAAGTCAGTCAAGGTAGAGCAGGGGCTCAAACACAAGGAAAGCATTTAGGATGATGTATGAGAGACGTTGTCAACAAGGAAAGCTTGAAACCAAGACATATTTTGCTTCAGACAAGGAGCATTTCTGTTTTCTCATAAGGTAGTAGCCATTTGAAGCAACTAAAAGCCCATGTTTTTGTCTGTAGGTAGAAGAATGCTCATGCCAGGAGAGTATCTTTTTTTTTAATTAATTTATCTTAAACTTAAATATTATAACTTAAGTACAAAATAAGAAAAAAAAGCATTGCCATGTGCACAGCAGAACATAAGAGAGGATTCAAAATATATAGTAATAAATTTCCCTTTCAAGAAAGCCTATATAATAAATACTATGCATTGTGTTTAGAACTATCCATCTTTTCTTTGCTTCCTTGTAAGTTTTCTTTTGTTCTCTGCTGTGCTTTTTACTTTCTTCTCCCCCCACCAACTCCAGAGGGCTACAATTAAGTGCAGATATATTAGTGTTTGTATACATATATACATTCACAAGTATGTATGTACACATACACACAGATATATATACATATATACATGCATACACTTACATAGATAGCTATAATCATACTCATATATAGACATGGACATTGATATGCATCTATATAAGACTGTACTATCCTTATTTATCTTATATTTCTCTGAGGGTGGATAACCTCTTCCTTCATAAGTCCGAGTCTTTCCATATTTTTCTAAGTCCACCAACTCATCATTTCCTACTCCGCAGCAATATTACAACCTTATACTGTCTAGTTATTTTGAATAGTCTAAAACAATATTATTAATATGGCTGAGATAAAGGGTAATTTTTCTCTTTTGATTAAATGTATTTTAGCTTTAACTTTATCTGACATGATGATTACTACCCTTGCTTCCCCCCCAATTCTACTCCTCTAATAAATTCTACTCCTCATCTTTATTTTATGTTTATGTGTATTTCTTCCTATCCCTCCTGACTCCTCTACTCTACTTCTGCCTGCTACCTTGACCTCCTATTACTTAACCTACCCCCTCCAAGGATCCCTCCCTTATTCTCCCATTCTCAGCTTTTATACCCTTCTAGATATATATATGTCTTGTTCCCTCTTTGACCCATTTCCCGATGACAGTAGGGTTCCAGAACTACCAGCTCTCCTCCCCCATCTAATTCCTCTGTGTCAGTTCTTTCTTTCACACCTCATTTGCATAAGATAATTACTTTTTTTTACCTTTTCCTAGATGGTTTACTTTTTAGTATTACATTATGCTCAATTCTACCCCAATCTTTTTTTCAAGCTTCCCAGTTACTAATAACAATCTTAGCCATACGATTTACATTAAACATACTGTAGTATAGTACATGTGTAGTTGAATACTGTACTATAGTATGTTTAATGTAATAGTTGTCTCTTCAAAACCTCCTGCCTGTTCTGCCTCATCAGATGTCGAATCAATTTCTTTTGTTATGCTTTATTTATAGGGACCTGAACTCTTACTAGATTTAGTATTTGCTTCTGTTTTTAATGTCTTCTTTGTTGGTTTATCTGCTTGTGTTCAATATCTATGAGTTTGCTTCTTTATGAGTTCTTTAGTAATTTCAGTATTTTTTTCATATATTCTTTCCCATTACTCACTCTGTGACTCCTCTTCTGATCTCAAAGCATCTCAGCCTTGTTCCAAGCTGGACAGTTCATGGCTCACTAGCCTAGGTCCCTGCCCCAAATGAATTTTGGGGGCACAGAACTGGAAGTGGATGCTGGACTGTTTCCCTCACTCTTAGTGGACTACCATAGTCACACACATGTCCTGCCTCATTCCCTCTCTTCCTCAGGTGTCTGGCCCACTGGCACACTGTTTTGCCCCCTTTCCAGTGTAAGCTGTGTGAACTTTAGAGTCTTTTTTATTGGTTTTATCAGTGGAAATGACATGAATTTGCTGTCCATTTTGCTGCTTTACCCGAAGAGCCACTGGTTCTGTCCAGTTGTCTTGCAGCTAAAACCTCTGTTTTGTCTCCCCCAATAGAATGTGAGCTCAATGAGAGTAGAGACATATCTTACTTTTCTATTTGTATTTCCAACATTTAGCAAAGTGTTTTGCACATAGTAAAGGTTTAATAAATGTTTTCATTCACTTATTCCTTGTATTCCTGGCACCTAACATAATTCCTTGTACCTAATTGGTTCTCAGTAAATGTTGTGTTTGAAAGAGTTAAAATTGCTATTATCATTTGGCTTCAGTCATCATGACTCCCAAATTTTCTCCCATTATTAGAGTAAATCTATTATTAATCAGCCAAATTCTCACTCAATAAGAGCTAAGCTTTAGAATCATCTTAGTCT